TTGAGAAAGTTGTCTGGACTTCTAAACAGATGGTAATCTGGAGGAAAGAGGTTCAGCGAGTAAAGCGGATAAGGAAGAACTATGTAGCCCTAATTCTTTTAAAATTCTGTGTTACTACACGTAATTGAAGACAACGCTACATATTAATAGAATATTGGAAAAGGACTCGAAACATTGCTGTTATGACAGTGACAATTAACAAAAATTTTAAGAAGTAATATGTATAAGAAGTATGTGAACCAAATAAGTGTGAAGCTTGTGTTTCGTACAATTTATAATTGTATTCCTTGAAGAACAATCTATTTAAAAAGGTATCATCCACCTTCCTTTATTTCAAGAGATAATACGCCTAAAAATCGTGCATACCTCATATAAAATTTCAACATTAAAAATAATTGTCCTCTTCGAAGACAAATCTACATAAAATAGAGTATCCACCTTTCTCTACCTCAAAAGAATCCAACGAAACTATTCCAACTCCCGAAACGAACCTCCAATTAACAAACCAAACACCTCTTCGACCACACAACAACTCCTCGCGCCTAATTTAACCATAACTCCATATCCATCGGCCATAAATCCTCACGGTTTCCACCGACAACCCGCCCGACTGAGACCTTAAAAACAGCCATAATAACAATAACAACACTCTCCTTTTTCCCCGACGTAATTGCCCCTGTTCGTGGCGCATGAAAGTTTCGACCTCGACAGTCGCCCAAGAAAGGAAACGGATTTAAACACCACTCGTTACCTTCAATTACACGCGCTGAATTTTCGTTCGACATGCTCTCGCTAATTCCCATGATTCGGGTCCGCCCAGTTAATCGCCACTTAGCGCCACGGTTCTCCCATCTGATTAATAAACGTCGACGACGGGACGAGTTAAAAATGGTGGAAATGGGAGATGTTGAATAAATAACCAAGGGACAACAATGGCGTGGAAGTACACCGGGGACTGGAAGGAAACGGAACGCTGGACACGTGGACGTTGTCGAGCTCGCAGTTCGTGGATAACTGTGACGAAGGAGTCTAGAGAAAAAATCACGGACAACTCTCGCTGGAATTTTCGCTCGAGCGTATCAAGCAACTTGCGTCACGCCAACGACGAATGATAATTAAATTCCCCCGTTATCCGCGGACAGGGGCGATACTAATTATTATTGTTACAGTAGCGCCTTCATTATGCAAACGAACTGGGCAGGGGAGGACCGTGGGAGATTGGATGGAATTTTAATGTACAGTGGTCAGGATTCTTGGACACGATTGTTTATTATTATTATTATTATTAGGCGTGGAAATTAATTATGTGAAATTAATCATCAGTTTGTTATTATATGGTCAATTGGCAACCTTCTGGGTTATCGATCTGGTCTCTATTGCAATGCATATATGTTTATATATGAAGATTGATATAAATTTTTGCTTATTATTATTCTTATTCTAGCATATTACAAGTGTACTTGATAATTATAATAATTTTAGGAGCATATTGTTAAGCAAAATTTGATGGCCATTAACACTTTATCTACCGGCTTATTTAGAAACAGACTTTAATTCAAGAAGGAATTTTCTACAGTATCATATGCCAATCTAGGCTGACAATAATTTCTCCATACTGTTACTGGGTACATCGAAAGCCAAGTCTGTTTCCAAACACTGAACATTGTTCGTAGACAACCATCAACACAGTAAATAAATTCGAATAGCTAAATACTGCAATTAGAAAGCCTAAAAATAGACTCCCGGTAAATAAAGTGTTAAATTTTGTATAGATGCATTCCAATGACCATCAGATTGAGACTTAGGTTATGTCTATAGATACATTGTTATAATTAATCTACCAAAAAGACAAGTAAATATAATATATCTTTTCAAACTAGAGTTATAAATGATTGAATCTAAAGGAACAGAATTAATTTCTACACCTAATTAATTATGTTATAACGGCTACCATTGGAATGAAATTACCAGTTATATCTCCCTATAAAATCTAGTATTTTTCAAATTTCGTTCAGTTCTACTTTGAAAAGTATAAGCCACTTAAATTCACCGAGATACTGACTCTATTTATTATTACAAATCGTGTCCGTAATGGCTGCATAGATTGATTTTGTTTTCCAATAGTGCTCAATTCGTTCCAGAGTGAATTTCGTTACCCAGCGATTCGTTCTTGAAAGCATTCAGTTCCTTATAATTCACTCAGTAAAGCAATCTCGGTAAAGGAACTTTCTTTGTCAGTAATTACAATAAAAAGTCAATTTTGCCTTGCTCTGTTTGGTGCACTATTGATAACATTGCCGAGAGCAATAATTGCTGGAATTTCCAACCAAAATCGAGAGAAAATAATATCGTACCAATCGCATGGTGATAACGGGTATTGTTTCTGAAATCATCGACGAACACGATCCAATAATTACTTTGTTCCCTGTAATTCCAAATCATCACGATTCGGTCTGTAATTCAAATTTCGCGCGGGTTTGTACCGGAAACCATTCTAAAAGTCGAATGAGAAATGCTCCCCTCTGTGGAACAAAGCTGATGCTTGTAATTAATTCAACTGGAATCTGCGTGAAATTTAAATGCACCTGCTCTATTGATTTTCTGATTCACCGACGATTTTGACCGCGCAGGGGCAGCACAGGAAATCCCGCGGTCACTGCGCAGACGCGAATTCTCTGACACGAATTTGCTTTTTTGAATATTGTATCATTTGAGTTCGTAGAAAATGCGCAAATATTGATGTCAATTAGTGGCAAGGCTCGTTGATTGGAAAGTGAATTTGCAAGTAAACTAAAGGGGGAAATCCAAACAAATGTTTAGTTTTATCGAGTTCTTTCTGATAGTTGAAGAAAGTCTGATTTTATAGGGACGTAACTTAATTTTTGTTGATTCTGTTTTCATAATAAAGATCTTTATATGTCCTTTTATTAACCGACTTCGAAAAGGAGGAGGTTACTCAACTCGACATGTATATATATATTTTTTTTTGTAAGAAAATTAATTCTCGTTAAAGTCTTTGTAAAAGGGTACAAGATTTTTTGTTTATTCAATTGTGGAAAATGAGAAATTATTTTATATTTAAAACATTGTATAAGACCATGCATAAATCTATTATTAGATAATTTATCATTAAATTTCCAACAAAGGAATCGCCATTTCATTATTTCTCGAAATTCCCAACTTCCTTTGCTGGCAATTTTCGGCTCGACGGGAGATTTCTCAGTAGACTCGAATAAGTGAAAATGCCTTCGTCCAATCGTCAGGAATCGATCACACAATGCTACTTATTCCATTCTTCCTTCTTTCGATTCAGAGAGCTCAAAGTGTACGCTGTAAAAGTGTGATGGAATTACGGAGTCGTAAAAATGTGAAATTCCACGGTGGTTTCCCAAGTTTCACTGCGATTCGCAAATGACAAAATATCACCGGAAACGGTATAGAATGGAGTGATAGATACGAAGCTTTCTCTGCATCACGCGTTACACTTTTCCTGTCCTCGTATCTTGGCCAATCGAGTGGCATCTCGCTAGGGGGTGACTCACGGAATTGCTAATACCGTTCTTTCCCTTTCGTAATTTCAACGATGCCTCCTTCTAACGATCGAACAATTTTTTTTCCTGTTGCAGAACACTTGCGTAAATGGTCCCATGGTCTGTCGCAATGCAGCCGACACTTATACTGAATTGTAAGTATATCTTGCGTGGATGCTCCTGATCGAGCCAATTAACATTCACGTGTTACGCAAATCAGGTGTCCTCGCGATGGGGCTTCTCACCTCCACGGGTGCGATCACCGTATCGATAGACCGTTCTGATAACAATCCCGTAAGTAATTTACCGATTCTTCCGTGTAAGTATGCTAATTATTTAATTTCGTCTCTAGTAATAATGAAACAATAATAAACACGACTTAGAAATAATTAAACAGCAAGCGGAGAAATTCTGCAACTTGAGATTGTTTAAAAATTTTTACTAAACTTTAAAATTGAATATACCAGAGAGCCTTTATGTTTTATTAACTTTCCATTAAAAGGCTATCGATTTTTCTACCTATACCAGCCAAAACACCGTAGCCAGGTAAATATTCATCGAGCTTGAAGTTTAAATTATAAACAAAACTATATTTGTATTCAGCCATTGTTACAGATTGCGCGATTTGTTATGAAAAAGCTGATGAAATGTAAATTTCCATCGCGTAACATGAAATTTAAATTCATGTAAAAGCGGTTAAATATTGTTAAAGAACCGGAGGGCACTGTAGAATTCCTCCAGCTTCCGGTTCAATTATTTTTCACAGTTATTCTTACATATCCCGTAGTTTCCAAATTCCCATATAGTTTTTTCTTTGAGTTACTTTGAGCTCATACGAAATAAACGTCGGGTTCTTTCCGTGGGAAGAAAAATTAAATTAACGTCCAAACGCAACACGAGAGCGTGACTGTAATTTCCAGAAGACACTGCATGACTCTCGAAAAGAATACAGAGTAGAAATCAGAACGAATCTACTTCAGTCATCCCTAACCATTCCAACAGTCACTCCTTGAGCCTGTGAATTTTTCACCACCTCCGCAGTGCCACCTGCGGAAATTCAATGGCGCCACTCCTACTCTCCAATCATATTTATTTATTCATTTATTTATTTATTTATTCCTCGGCTGAGCTTCGTTAGTTTTAGTACTCGCGTAAAGATCAACGTAAATATGCTCTTCCATCGAGTTCCTGGTTAACATCGTGTATGCATAATTCTAATCCCGAAATGTGCATTCATCGATATTATGAATTTTGATTCATTCAAAAGTAGTGGGAATATGTATATTATTCTTTCATTGCACTTTAAATAATTATAGTTGGTAGTGGATAATGTGAATTCATTAAAAAGTGATTTACGAAGACTTTAATGTCGCGTATGCATTAGGTTTGATACATTTGAAGAGTTTGTTAAAAGATTGCTGTTTTAAGATATTAATGGATCGTTATCATATACGTATTCATTATCTTCGACAATAATGATCACAAAATAAAGAGCTTCATATCATACCATATAAAAATTCAATGATAAATGAAACTAAACCTCTCATTTACATGTAAATACGAATGTATCAACACTTATGACTAATAGGTAATTTTCTATATAAATTTTACTCGTCAGAATATCATATAGAAAATCACCTTGCACGCGCTCCTCCACTTCCTCCTAAACCATCGTTTCCGGTAACCCAAACACGCAACGATTCCGCGCTCGATTCACCCAGTAAAACTTTCTACTCATCCTAAATTCCCGTTCATGAAGAAAAAAAATAGAAAAACAAAACGGGAAGTTCGTTATTCGTCGGAGAAAGTTGAATTCACAAGTAATAACCGTAACTGCCCGCTTCCAAAGTGGAGCAAACGTTTAACCATCGTACGAATTCTCGACGACCCTCTCTTGCAGCCACCGACGCGATCGTCGATGATCGCAAACGGATGGAGGCCGCTGACGAATGGCTACGAGGAAACGCTCGGCACCAACGTCTCGCCGTCGACCAACCTCGAGAGGAATCCCCTCGTCCATCCTGTTATTGGCAAGCTCCAGGAGCACATGGCGGCTTCGGAGAAGCACAAATCAAGGAAGAATAAACCGATCCCTCATCACGACTACAGTCCACCTAGCATACTTGGTAGCTTCACGGTCTTCAGCCACGCAGCCGCCAAAGGACGCATCGAGCCCCCCACTCACAACCACGTGAGCAAATACGCGCCCTCAGAGACTCGCGAATACACCTTTCTGATCCCTCCGCCCAAGGACGCCTATCGTTTCGACCTGGACCACCATAGAAAGCCTATGCTACGAGACAACGCTGCGTACTTGCGGCAACCCTACGTTCCTCAGGGCATGCACCAACCGCCAGATCCAATAAAAGCGGCCACGTACTTCATCAAGGGTTACACCTCCACCACAAACACCCCATCATCGCCGATGAATCCCAAGAACAGACACTACTCCGACTCCTACGTACCTCAGCTTCTGCAGCCCCCGCGCTACCAAGGCAAGCTAAACCAGCCCTTCGAATCTCTAAAAGTCAACAACAACGCCAAGCCCTACTTCCAACCTCCTAGCACGGCGATAGCATCCGACTTTGGCAAAGACAAACGCCTGAGCGACCACGACCATCGTAATTACGACAAATACCAGTCTCAATCGCAGTCGCATAACGAGCAGATTGTCGACCATCCTGGCAACTACTACAGTCATGTAAATCATCCCTCTCACCCCTACAAGACGTCCTACGAGAGGGATCCAGCGTTCCTGGTGCACGAGAGTCACGAAATTAGCTACGTCAGCCCTCCAACGGTCTACAACGGATACGATCTGAGACCATCCTTGCCTTACGAGACTCTTTTACCTCCTGACGTGTACGCCTCGTCCACCCCTGCGCCTACCACACCGCAGGTCCAAGCATCTAACTATCAGAACGGTGATTTGAGAGATTACAAGCGACCAGGTCAAGGTAACGGTCCTAAGCAAGTGGAGGACACCGTTGTACCCACTTCTGGAGTTGCGAATACTTATTACGTCTCCGAGCATCAAGATCTCACGCCTCCCCCGTCATCCTGGCCGGTACCAAAGAGCAAATACACTTCCGACATCAACGAGGTGCTACCTCGCGTCAATCCGCCATCCAAGTTCAACGAGGAGGTGACAGGCTCGAACCAGGATCCCCAAGTGCCCAAGGTCCTCTTCATAGGCCCCCAGGCGCAGCCACCGCAGTACCAAAGTTCTGTCCTACCGATCGATATACGTCCTGAGACCTCTCAGCCCGAGTACGAGACGCCGGAGAGCATATCGCTCAAACACTTCAACGAGCAACAATACCTGCTCCAGCAACAGTTGCTGCAGAGGGACAGGCAACGACTGGCCGAGCAGGAGCGTCAACAGCAGCTGGAGATCGAGAAGCAGCAGCAAGAGGAGCTGAAGAAACGCCAGCAGGAGCTAAGGGAGTTGATCCAACAACAGAAGGAGGAGGACGAGGCCAGGTTTGAGGTCGAGGCGGCCAGGAATCAATCGCAGCAGCTGGCGAAAGTCGAGGGACAATCACCCTTCCAGTTCGAATACGAAATCCCGAAGGTTACCACGGACGCTGCCCCGGTGATTACGGAGTACTACGATGTTGGCGAGCAGCCAAGGATTCAACAGTCGCAGGTTTGTTCGCATGAAAGAATAGACGATTTAGGGACGCGTGGGGAATCGGGAGAAACGATGGCAACGAGTGTCGACCGCGAGGTGGATTTCAGGTTAAGTGGGCGTTTAGTTTGTTGTTTCGGTGGCGAATATTCGGCTGGGGGATGCAGATAAGGGAGAGGAATGTTTTCTGACACATTATTACAGGTAGGGTAAAGATTAGAGAAAGAGTTCGTCGATTTTATTACCGACGAGATCCGCTCGCTGTATTTTTTTAAATTATAGTGGTCGAGGAAAACTGAAACATTGTAAGAGGAAACAATAGTTAATCAGTTTTGTTCCGAATCTAATCAAGTATTGATATGAGAATGAGTAAATAATTTCATCTATTATAATAGAATCGTGTTTGTATTAAAAAATTTGTGCGTTTAATAAGAACTCTCTTGGAACTACAAATATTTATCTGATTTTTTTGCTTTGCTAATCGTTATATGGACTTGAAATATATTTAATTTATCGGTGATTGGTACGAAACAGAAGATGTCGCAGTCTATATTGCCCTTTCATCCGACATCATTATCCGAAACTACTAAAAGCGCAAAAGTACTGCCAGAAGTTTCAGAACCGGAATAAACAACAGACGTTGCGACGTTAATTTGCTCTTCTACGAGTTTGTTCGAAACTCAGGAGGTTTTAAGCAAACGATTACACGTTTACTGTCAACCGTGATAAACGTACAACATTCTAACAATGATAAAACTATCGATATTTTCCATTTATATTTCGCGATTAAAATGCAAATAATAAATAACTCTTATTATCAAATAAATAAGTGATACAGATGTCAAGAAGTTATAAACAATTTCGTCTTTTCGTCGCCAATACCATAAAATGATAAAAACATGTACACCCACCTCAAGGTTTACACTAGTCTGTAATGTACCCATGAGATGAACAGCACTTTTGCAACACTCGTAGAGGTTTGTATCACTATAATCACACTACTTTTACGGCGGAAATTGACACGTGCTCACGGTTCGGCTGTAATTGTAATACTGACACGCGGAAGTCTAGAGATCGAGAAACCGCCACCCTTGGTATGGCTGATTACGTTCGCGAAATGATATAAGAAATGACCCGCGGTACTTAGGTAGCAAGCGAGCAAAGATTCCAACAACACGTCCCCTTGACGAAGGGTAAAGCTACGATACTGAGCTGATCGTATCGTAAACAATATTTATTGCGAAGAAATTTTAATTCCGCGTTATGTATACCGTTTTATTATAAACTACACTCTTTATGAACGTATTGGTATGTGAAACTTTTAAACTTATGAATTTATAAGCGTATATAAACACATAAACTTATAAAATGTATAGATTTATAAACATGTATTAACATTATGCACTTACAAATTTATAGATTTATAAACGTACACGAAAATATACACTTATAAACTTATGAATGAAGGATCCAAACCACGGAAAATAACCATTTAACGGAATGTGTAAACGTTTCCGCAGGTATCCCAGCCCGACTACGTAAACTCGGAGAGTCCCATTAGCCTGAACCAGCAGTACGAGGACTACCACGTGAAAAATCAACCGGAACAATCGAATTACCGTGAACCTCAGACAGAGCCACGACCGCACAGACCGCACAAGTTACACCGCGATCAATATAGACGAAGGAAGCCAACAACTACGTTGGCATACGAGCCAACGCCAACGGAAGCGCCGGTCGAACTTCCAGAAACATCGTTGCCCGTGACGCTCCACTACGAAGAAGTTCCCATCCAGACGACCCCAACCCCGGAAACACCTACTCAGCCACCAGTGACCACTCAGAAGCCCAGAACGCGACGACCAGGATCTCCGTTGCGACGAAAGCGTCCAACGACCACCACGCCCGAGCCAATCACCATTTCGGTCGGTGGTGACGATTACCTGAAATACGAGCGACCCGAGGAGGTGAACCAGCAGTTGGACACCTCACGAAGAAGGCGTATCAAGCCAACCCAAACCACCTACGAGGAGTCTGTCACCGAGAAGAAGGCCAACATCAGAAAACGACCTGGCCACAGGAACAGGGTCAACCCTGGGGAGCCATTCGAGGCAGAGATCGTCACTGAAATCGTCCACACTCCGCTAAACACGTACAGGACACCTACAGAATCGGTTCCAGGGTACAACGAGTACAACCAGTTCGCAACAAATCAACCAAACAGTCAGAACTACGACTACACGTCGCAGAAGCTTGGCTCTGGGGATGAGCAGCGCGAGGACACTACGCAGGTGGTCCCAGGGAACTACTATACAGAAGTAACGAAATCCAAAACCGAGGACGTGAATAACGACAGCTACAATCCCCAACAGAATAGCGGAGTGGTTACTAATATTCCTCTAGAGGACCTCTTCAGCAAGACGGAAGGCAACTACTTCGATAGAACAACAGCTGTGTCTTCGACGAGCTTTAGCACAGACTCTAGCTCCAGCTCTAGCCCAAGCACCAGTCTCTCTACATCAGCTCCAACGACGACTACCACCCCCTCGACGACTCAGGCCCCTGTCCTGACCTCGTCGACGATCAGGTCCATCAAGATGCGACCCATGAGGTACGGGAACACCACCAGGCCCCGTTTCAGCATCAAGGACTATAAGAGTCGGTTGGATTACAAGAGCAGACTAGCTCAAATGTCCACCACAGAAGCTTCAGCAGCGCCAGTCCCCCACACGAAGCAGAGAGGATCCAGTTACAAGAGCCAACAGGCTCAACAAGGTGCTGATGGTGTTAGAGAGACCACTGGCAGGTACAAGTACATGTCCAGAGCTAGCTACAGGACAACGTCGCCTGCTCCACCGACTTCTAAAGATCAGGAGTACACAGGGGAAGATACTACATCCTCCACCACGGAGAGGTCCCATCGTTTCGTCCCCAAGCGAAGGCCCGTCAACGGCAACGTTTACAGAAGCAGGATTTCTGGGACCACTAGTAGTCCCAGCAGGTCTCAACAATACGAGAACGATAGCCAGTCGAAACCAAGCACTGCCAGACCCGAAAATGTCTTCTCATCCTCGGTAAGACGTCGACCAGTGATGAAAAGCAGGCTAGCAGCGCAAAAGGAAACCTCGACGGCCCCGTACAACGATAGAAAAGAGGCTGAGGCCACGGAAATGGCCGCCGAGGAAACCAGTTTTTACTCAGCCGCCACCACAATGGGGACTACCAGAGTAGCAGCTAACGAGATCCCAGTCGAAAAGGAGGAAGCGGTTTCTACGAATGTTCCAACGAAGCTCAGCCCTACGGATGAGGAGAAGAATGCGGATGAAAGCGAAAGTGGAGCTGGTTTCCACGTGGAAAATGAAAATCTACCTGCGGAACAGGTTGCCACTAGTACTGCCAAAAGCGTGGAAGAGTCCGCGGTGGTGGAAACTAGTACTGCTGACCGACAAGTCGCTGCCACGACGGAGAAAACGACAAACGAAGGCAAACATGAGACAACGACCGCCTTCGACGTCCAATCAGACGAGGAGGAATTATTCGCTAAGGCGTCGCAAAGCGTGGCCGATCTGACCAGCTCCGCTTCTGCACTCTACGACAAGCCTGGATTGTTCAAAGCGGTCTCCCCCGAGAGCAGAGTCGTCGCCTCGCATTTCAAGTTACCCACCGAGGAGCCTACCTTACCGATCGAGGCATTCTTTCAGGAAATTTCCAAGAAAAGCTAAAGCGCAGGCGATTTAAAGTTCTGTTTGATAGATCCACCTGCAATTTGACTGTTTGGGATTGTTAACACTAGGTTTACAGATCATTTCAACCTATCCAAAATTTTAGAAGGTTTTACAGAAACCGTTTGGGCTTTTTGTCAACCATTTATGGTGACTTTTATTATAAAGTAGTATTTTAGTATAAAGAGATTATCGTATGTCTAAATTCATTTTCGTGTAAACCATTTAATTTGTTTTAGTAAATTGGTTTCACTTAGTAATGCGTCGCTTCATTAATAAAAAATCTGGTAAAAATCTCCGTAAACCTAGTGTTAATTGAAGTGAGCTATAGTTTGTTTTAGTGTTGATGAATTTCTTCTTCAAATTTTTAATCGGGAGATATCGAGCGTTGGAATGGAATCTGGAAAATTGGCAAGGGATCTCTGCTCGAGAATTTTATTTAATTTTCGAGAGAGCTATCCCTTGTGGCTGTGGATTTTATATTTATAAAACGAATACAGAGTATATTTCATGAAATAAAGTTGCTTAATTAATGGCAACGGGTCGTCTTATAACACACTTTGAAAAATAATAAGATACGTGCAATGTTCGCTTAAATATTCTCGCAAAATGAATGGATAAAATTATTCTCAATTCTATTCTAGACGTAACGAAATAAATTATGCCATTAATTTATTTAAAACACGCACAATTAGCCGCATGATTGAAATTCGAAACGAAGCGTCCCTTATTTTCTTAATTATATCGAAAAATAATGGACCCTTCGAGATGTTTTGTAAATGTAAATATTTAGAACGTTTATCTTATTCGATTCGAGCCAATGGGTGCTCGACGATGAGTGTTATTTAATGATGTAATTGATGCATTGACATAAGGATCACTCTTATCAACATTCTTCCTAATGTAACAAAGTGGATTTGTTAATTTTCCTGTGAACTTTGTAAAATTCCTATTTCGAGATATAATTGTATACTTACTTGGGATAATCGTTCACGGAACACAGGAAAAAATAGTCTTTTCTATTATCAGGTAGCACGTATGTTTACCTGAAAGAAGCTAAGTTAAATAAAAATCGTCTCCATAACCTTCATGACCTCCTAATATGTTTATGCATCCTTACGTAAATAGCGAAACAATCGCTAAGGTCGGTACATCGTGTTAATTTATATGAACACTGTAAATATATATAATGTATATGCATTAAATAAATAGACTAGTTAAACTAACTCCTCGCTTTTAATTACTACTTCGATATATCGGACAAGGGAATGCAGTATGTCGGGTGATGCAGATTAAAACACGGTAATTAATATTCCAAGTTGATTTACAATCTATTTAATATCGTTACGATAATTGTTTACATGCGTGTAGCCGCAGGCGAGTAAAATACTAATTTGAAAAGTAACGTTTCCTTTTATAAAGTAGACCCACCGTTTCCCAATTACAAATGTCGTAAAACGCAATTAATATACTCTAAAACTGGCAAAATAGTACTTTACCCGAGACTACGTACGTTTCTAGGGTCGAATGACTTCCATCGTCTCTCTTTCTCACTTACTCTCTCACTTTCTCGCTCTCTCGCACAAATACACACGCGTGTATATGTTTATACGTGTATAGGCCTACGGAATTACTTTGATTGTACCTAATTTAGAATTATGCACAGGCCATACATTACACATTTAATATACTCGTTAACAAGTACTCGTAAACCGTTTCCCATCGTGTACATCGTGTAAAATTCCATGTAATTGACAATTAGTTTAACGTGTTTTTTTGTTGTCAGTCATTCAAGGTACAGTTGTACAGTATACGCTATATTTATATATATATATATATATTTATATGTATATATACAGTAACAATTGTTAATCTATCAGACGAAGTAGGCACACGCATACCGAAAGTATTTACATTGCCCACTGGAATCGGAGTGAGCAAGAAGTGGACGTTGCAGCTAAACTCTGTGTATGCACATCGATAAGAATTAATTTGTTATAGTCGAGTTAAGGAAAGAATCGACCTTGTGGTAAAGGAGAGGAAGTTCTATAAATTTATTACAAATATTGTTTGAATTTTCTTCCTTTTGATCAATAGAGGAGGTTGTTCAGTGATAATTTACAAATTTTTAATTTGGGGTTAACGTGGATTGGGGGTAGTGAGAGATTCAAGACTGTGACGGAGTCAACGAATAAATAGATTACTTTGGTTTCACTGCTCGAATCGAATGCTATCGAATTAAAAATTCAATTTCATTTGATCAGATTTCTCCTCTACTCGTTGCACGTTCGAACCCATCACTCGCCCAACAAAGCTTTAAGAAGTTGCCCACCCTCAAAAATAAATAATAGAAGTCTCCCCCAAGAAGATTCTTTCCTTCTCCCAACTATATGAGAGAACAAGGAAACTCAACTAGCATAATCAACGTTTCTACCGCGCATTACCATAAACGTCAGCCATAAAAATGAGAAAACAATTCCCTAGAACGAAGAGACCTGAGTTGTCGTGCGGAACGTGACCCGTTTCCTTATCTTCGATCCTCCTAGGAATCGTTCGGAACTAATTAGCAACGATCACTAATTATACACCTTGGTCTATGAACGTATTGGTCCTTGCACGAAACTACGCGGGGGTAGTTTTAATTTAGACAACGAAGAGCTCGAAATTCGATGTTCGCCTAAGGGTGAATTGTGTGCATACACTTATCGACGCGCGATACAATCTGCTCGAGAGCCGTTTTCGATTAAAAATATATGCAGTCGCGAGCAACGCGGACGTAAAAGCTCATTACTTATACAATAGCAAAAGTTAGACTATTAGAATTTTCGAAGCTCACTGTTTCAGGTGTTTCTCCCCGCGCTGTAAACAATCGAGAATTCACCGTGCTTATTTCAGCAACGTTTGCAAGGAAACTAGGCGAAAAATGAATTGAACTATTAAAAATAAAAAGTAAAACTATTATTATTATTAGTATTATTTTTAAACAGTGGTAACTTGACCAAGTGTTAAAGAGGTTAAAGCTGCGAAATCCTAATCGCGTTAGCATTGACAAAGCTTTTGTTTCGTTTTCCTCTTGATGGTTACGTTTTTGGCAACATTTCCAACTGAAATTGAAATTATATAAAAAAATATATACACCTGTAACACCTCATCCTATGATTCTCGGTTACGCTATTACAAATCTCACGACTTATGTACAACAAGAATACAAAAATTGTAGCGTTGTAACAATCAAGACCGTTTAGTTTATTTAGTTTATTTTTTTTTTTTTTTGTTTATTCCAAAACGTACTAGAAAAGGAAGTTTTGCGGGTATACCGTGTGTGTATATAAATACGACGTATGTATACATATAATTCACGGAAATACTTGTCCCCTATATAAATCTTTTAGACAGCGTTGTACGTTAACGTAACTAAAGCCGATAAAAGTTCTGGTAACTACGCTTAACTATGGTTAGTCCTTCGGCTCGAACGTTCGTTTCATTCTCACTGGAACGCCCACGTTTCGCATGGTTGTCACCCGTGGGCTTCGCCATTCGGGCAGCTGACACGAAAAGCATCGATGGACACGGAACAATTTTCGCTGTTTTATTATTCGAACAAAATATGGTACTGGGTCGAGGAGTAAATTCCCTTTCATTTCGAGGAAAGTTGTGACAAAGTACTCCACTTGGATATTTATAAGGGCTTTGGGGTATTTGATAAAGTTAGATTCTGGTGTGGATGTTTTTAAATTAAATCGAATTTAGAAGGTGGGATGTAGGAGATGCTGGAGAAATAAATTGGAGGGATGATTGATTTTTCTGGGTGATTGAACTGGTGTGGTAAAATAAATTTGAAATGTAGAAGAGATTCGACACAGAAGGTTTTGGGATATTAAGAAAAATTCAATTCTGGTTGTAGTGGATGTGGATGTTTCCAAATTAAATTGAATGTAGAAGTTGAAAAATAATAAAAGGTATATATCTTAATAATGTACTAAATTATAAATAAAATTGAGAAATAAAAACGAACTCACTGCCCTACCGCAATAACTCAACACTCAGCTAACACCAAGTACACGCCCCAAGTAAACGTTACGACTATAGGAACCAAAAACTTGCTTCGTGCGTGGAACATGGCACTGGTACCTCAATATCCAATCATAAACGAGCTATGAGAAGATCGTCAGGCCGAAAGATTAACGCAATGTACCACTAACACTTTCAAGCGAGTCCTTCTACTCTACGACCCTTTTTAGAATTTCCATGTGTGGCTTCGACGTTGGTCCACTTTAGTGCGTTATTATCACGTTGTTTGTTTAATTTTTTTTTTGTTCGTTCGTATGTACAGCAAGAAGCTGCCAAGAGTGCCCCCGAGAGCTACATCCTCGATGCGAGAAAAGTGTCCGCTCTGTCATAAATTGTGTTTCGACGACAGGGACGCTATTAGTCATGCTCGTGTTGACACTGAATCCTGACGGATAGAGGAAATAACCTTTCGCGAAAATTCTGATGGCCAAATCTAAATTCCACCCGGGGGTGCTCTTCTCTCAGGCAGAGATGGGCAAAACTTTAATCGAATACATAAATAAAACCAATGGGTGCAATTTATTCGCAAAATTATTTTTTTGTTTGGAGTACTTCATGCTACGGTTCAAATTTTGCTGTTTTTTCGAAGATTAAGGGATGAATAATTGTTAATCATGTTTTATTTGTTATTTGAAATTTTAACCAAGTTGAATGTTTTAGTTTTAACGAACTCAGTACAATTTTCATTTAGATAAAGTAGTATAGTTTTTATTTGGATTAAATAATTCAATCTATTAGTAAGTAAGACGATTTAATTTTTATTTTGCCGATCTCTGCTCTTCATTATACGAACCTGCATACAGAAATCTTAGGCGCAGACAAAACACGGTCGGAAAGATCTCAGGACCCAAAGATTGGCAAAACTTTATTCCCAATAATCGACGACGAATAAAAGCACCCCACAGTAATTCATTCGCGATGTTTATTCGACTCAACAATTGAATCTGTATTCGTCGTAATTAGACTGCGGATTTGATGCAATAATATGGGAAACATACATAAAATATACATAATGTATGCTGAATATATTCTACAATTATTATAATGATATCGTTTTATTTTATTTTGCATAAGTGCGCATACCTGTAGGTTAACGTTTAGCATGCGTCTATTATATTAGTTTATATCATAAATGCATAAAATCTGCAGTCTAGTTGTAATAGACGCATCGACAAATGAAGTATCTCATTCTACGATACAAACCCTAATATTTATTCTACTTTATTTCTTATTCAAAATTCGCGTATAGATTGCCCATCTCTGGTTCTGTAGGAGAGGTATCGAATTCAGGGGCAGTTCACTTAGGCCTCCTATCATGTCGAATTTTGTCAAAGGCTGCAGAACTTGAAAATAAAAAATAAGATTCTCAAGAATTATGTGATAGGACTGTAAATAATAATAATAACTGAGTCCTACTGACTGAAATATGAATTCAGTAACCATTCAATCTTGTAACCATTTTCACTGCAATTCCACGTGATACATTGGTTGTAAGAAAAAGCGACGACTACAAAACTCTAGAAACTGTTAATTTCATATTTTTACATTAGTACTGAACAGTCCCGCAGGCTGACAAAATTTGCT